TCAACTTCCCCTTGATTCTGTTTGCTTATCTTTTTGATTATTAGGATCGTACTTTAAATTATGAAGGTTTTAATGCATTTTTTCTTTATGAAAGTCTAGATCTCCATATTGCCTATTTTGCCTTAAGCTCTGTTATGTCCAGAGTCATGTACTTGATGGGATGAGGATCTTTTGGAATAGTAACTTGCAAAGGAAACTTTGGCATATTTTCTCTTCCTTTCATGCATCAGTCACAGACTTTCTCTACGTATGAAATCTCTTCATTAATGGCTGGTGGGACCTGCTTCTTGATACACTTTCTTCCCTTTGAAAAGGACTAAAAAAAAAAATCTAGAATCATCGTCTTTATCATCTTACTCCACTCTATCCTTTCCAAGGGCAAAGAGTCTAGAGAGCACATTCCAGAACTGCATTTCTCTTTCTCTCTTTCTTTTTTTATGCTGCAGTCTATTTATTCATTTTATTGTTTTTTCCTCAGTTTTTAATATTTTGAAGTATAATTGACATATTAGTTTCAGGTGTCCAACATTGATTTGGCAAGTTGTATACATTACTCAGTGCTCACCCTAATAAGTGTGGTCACCATCTGTCACCATACAACATGATTACAATATTATTGACCATATTCCCTGTGCTGAACTTTCCATCCCGTGACTTATTTATCTTATAACTGGAGGTTCGTACCTCTTGATCTCCTCCACCTGTTTTGCCCTTCCTCTCACTCCCTCCCCTCTGGCAACCACCAGTTTGTTCTCTGAATTTAAGAGTCTGTTTGTTTGTTCATTTTGTTTTTTAGATTCCACATATAAGTGAAATCTTTTATTTAAATTAATATGATGAAGGCACTGAATTTTTTTAATTTAAATTCAATTAGCCAACATATAGTACATCACTAGTTTTTGATGTAGTGGTCAGTGATTCATTAGTTGTGCACAACACCCAGTGCCCATCACATCACGTGCCCTCGCTAATGCCCATCGTCTCGTTACCCCATCCCCCCACCCACCTCCCTTTCCGTAACCCTCAGTTTGTTTCCGGGGTCAGGAGTCTCTCATGGTTTGTCTCCCTCTCTGATTTCTTTTCTTTTTTTTTAAAGATTTTATTTATTTTGACAGAGAGAGAGAGAGAGAGAGAGAGGGAACACAAGCAGGGGGGAGTGGGAGAGGGAGAAGCAGGCTTCCCGCTGAGCAGGGAGCCCGATGAAGGGCTCAATCCCAGGACCCCGGGATCATGACCTGAGCCGAAGGCAGACGCTTAACGACTGAGCCACCCAGACGCCCCGCCCTCTCTGATTTCTTCCCATTCAGATTTCCCTCCCTGTCCCTATGGTCCTCCATGCTGTTCCTTATGTTCCACAAATAAATGAAACCATATGATAGTTGACTTTCTCTGCTTGACTTATTTCACTTAGCATAATCTCCTCCAGTCCCATCCCTGTTGATGTAAAAGTTGGGTATTCATCCTTTCTGAGGGCTGAGTAATATTCCATTGTATATATGGACCACATCTTCTTTATCCATTCGTCTGTTGAAGGGCATCTCGGCTCTTTCCACAGTTTGGCTATTGTGGACATTGCTGCTATGAACATTGGGGTGCATGTGCCCCTTCTTTTCACTACGTCTGTGTCTTTGGGGTGAATGCCCAGTAGTGCAATTGCTGGGTCATAGGGTAGCTCTATTTTTAACTTCTTTTTTTTTTTAAGATTTTATTTATTTATTTGAGAGAGAGAGAGAGTGAGAGAGAGAGAGCACGAGAGGGAAGAGGGTCAGAGGGAGAAGCAGACTCCCCGCTGAGCAGGGAGCCTGATGTGGGACTCGATCCAGGCACTCCAGGATCATGACCTGAGCCGAAGGCAGTCACTTAACCAACTGAGCCACCCAGGCGCCCTATTTTTAACTTCTTGAGGCACCTCCGTACTGTTTTCCAGAGTGCTGTACCAGATTCCATATATAAGTGAGATCTTATGGTATTTATCATTCTCTGTCTGACTTATTTCACTTATCATAAGACCCTTCAGGTCCCTTCATGTATTTGCAAATGGCAAGATCTCATTCTTTTTTATGGCCAACTAATTATTGCATTGTGTGTTCCATTAGAACATTTTCTTTATTCATTCACCTATTGATGGGCACGTGGTTGCTTCCATATCTTGTCTGTTGTAAAAACACTACAATAAACATAGGGGTGCATATATTTTTTCAAATTAGTGTTTTTGTTTTCTTTGGGTAAATACCCACTAGTGAGGGGCACCTGGGTGGCTCAGTCAGTTAAGCATCTGCCTTCGGCTCAGGTCATGATCCCAGGGTCCTGGGATCGAGCCCCACATGGGGCTCCCTGCTCGTGGGGAGCCTGCTTCTCTCTCTCCTCTCTGCTTGTACTCTCTCTTGCTCTCTCTCTCTCTCTCTCTCTCAAATAAGTAAGTAAATAAATAAATAAATCTTTAAAAAAATACCCACTAGTGGAACTACTGGATCATATGGTATTTCTATTTTTAATTTTTTGAGGAATCTCCATACTGTTTTCTACAGTGGCTGCACTAAACTTATGTTCCCACCAACAGTGCACAAGGGTTCCTTTTTCCCCACATCCTCACCAACACTTGTTATTACTTGTTTTTTTGATACTAGCCATTCTGACTGGTGTGAGGTAATACCCCGTGGCAGGTTTGATTTGTATTTCCCTTATGACTACTGATATTGAACATCTTTTTATGTGTCTATCTACCATCTGTATGGCTTCTTTGGAAAAATGTGTGTTCAGGTCCTCTGCCCATTTTTTAATGCATTTTAATAAATCTAGTGGGACCAGTCATCTATCACTACCCTCCTATTCCCCCCACCCCTGATTCTTCATTGCTATTCTTATTTATTTCTCCATATCTAGTTTAGGACTAATCTCCCCCTTCAATCTCTCACATTAAAAAAAAAAACCTATTGCTATTTTTACTGGAATTATGTTAAATGCATAAATTTAGGGGGCAAGATTGAAATGTTTATTAGGACCTGTTGAGGAACATGGTGTGTCTTTCTATTTGATCAAGTTTTCTTTTGTGTCTTTCAGTGGTGTTTTTAAGTTTTCCTCATTTAGATCTTACACATTCCTTAAGTTTATTCGTTATTTTATCTTTTTATTATCTGTTATTAAAAATGGGGCATTTTCTTCCATTGCTTCTAACTGGTTTTTGTTTGTGTGTGTGAAGGCTGTTGACTTCATTATATTTATATAACCCATATTAAATTATTTTCTTATTTATAGTAGTTTTTCTTTTCAGTTTGTTCTTTTGGCTTTTCCAAGTAAAAAGTCATATCATCTGCAAATAATTTTATCTCCTTTATAATTTTTATACTCTGAGATTTATTTTTCTATCCAATGCATTGACTAAAACATTAATACAGTCCTAAATAATAGTAATAAATCAAGGGATTTAATCTTAAATAATGTTTTGCTTCTTATATCTGTTAATATGGCTTGTATGAATAGATTTCCTAATATCCCTGCATTACTAGAACAAAAGTCCTGATGATACTGTATTATTTTAATGTGCTTCTGTATTTTATTTAGAATTTTTTTTCATACGTGATGTTGGTGTGTGTTGTATATATTCTCTGTCAGCTTTGATATCAGTATTATGCTTCATGAAAATAATTTGGAGACTTCCCTTTTTTATGTTCTGGAATATATGTTTAGTGGCATTCCTCTATGAAATTGTTAGGGCTTGGAACTTTTTGTACGGAGTACTGTGTAACACCATTCTTCTCTGCCCACTCACCTACCCCATGAAAGCTGGAAGGTACTCTCTTCTGGAACTCATTTCCTGGAAAATTATCTAATTTTTTCTGAATTTTCAAATGTAGTTACATGAGAGTGGAGCAAAGTAGTCTCTCATGATTACTTAAAATATCCTTAATTTTGTTAGTGGTTTCCTTTTACTTAGGTGTGATGTTAATGCTTTTCATCCTTACTTTGATTGAGATTGACTAGTAAGTCTATTTATCCCCCACCCAAAAATCAGCTTTTGATTCATTTATTAGTCTCTTCAATTTATATACTTTTATCTTCATTAACTCTTTTGTTGAGTTTTGTTATTTACTTTCGTTCAGCTTTGATATCCTTTTTCTAAATTTATGACGTGGCTGCTTAATTTGTTTTTATTCTTTTTAGTTGATTTAAATATTTAAGGCTGTGAATTTTCTGAACAGTGGAAAGTATCTGGATTCTGATATGTAGTACTTTTATGATTCTCTGGCAAGTCTGCAGTTTGAGTTTCATTTTTCTTTAATATTTTTTTAATAACAGAATTAGGTATCATTTTCAGCAAGTCCAGGTCAAACAGTGGTCTCACATATGAAAACCTGTGATTAAGACTTTACTTAATTATCCTCCAGATGTTTTTTTTTAACAAGCTTTTCTCTCAATGCACTGTAAAAATGTGAATTTGAGAAGATTAAATTCATCCACTAAGGAGGGACATAATTAGTATAGAAGATGATAATTTGTTAGCTCAAATATCTTTATTCTTGGAATCTGATTTTATTTCATTCTGAAAGTTTTCTGTGATATTGGATTTTTCCTGAAACATAAAGAGCTATGGAAACATACAAATCTTGTCATTTCCTTAGAGCTGCTAGAGACTTTAATACTAATAATCATTATTGACAACTGAATTCAAATAAAAGGATAACTGATCAAGATTTGGGGTATTCTTCTTGCTGTGGAAATTATTTGATGTCCTGGACTTTACTCATATAGGAATATAAATAATCTAGATGAAGATCATAGTGACCAGTTTAATAGCTTCTTACATAGTAAGATTTTTTCTTCAATAGATAAGAAATTCCACATGGTCTCTGTGTTACTTTTTGTCCTGATTAAAATGACACATCATTTTAGGGACAGAGTGGTAGAGTGTGGGAGAGGAGGGAAAAGAGGGAGAACTTACTCTAAACCTATAAGAATACATTCAAATATGGATTCTTACAAAATTCTTATTTGTTTTATAGAGAATACAAGCTAGCATTCTAAAAGCATTTAACAACCCGACTACTAAAACTGCTGATGATGATACTAGAAAAAAAGTCAAAGGTATGTTGATTCATTCATTGTTAAAACTTTCTCCCAGAAGAAGATTATGTTTCTTTTCAGGGGAAAAAGTACTGAGCATTATGTGAACTAATTCTGTAAAGTAGTGGCCTTAAAAGGAGAGTGTACTTACTCCAGTGGCTGCCAAGATAGCCTACTGGGTCATAGAAAGAAAATGTTAGAATGCGTCCATGTGAACTTTAAAAACTAAAACTAGTATCAGATATACAGACTGACACTGATAACCCTAATGTGAAGTATCCTAAGGGAGACTTGAAAGGCTGTGGAAAGCAGCAGCCTCGCTGGGAGTTCCGTTTCATCATATTGTGTCATTTTGCAGTTGACCTATGTTTGGATAAGTGGATTTATGGATATTATACCGTTTTAACTAGTCAAATGCTTAAGTGTTCCAAAGATTCCTACAAGGAAACCAGTTATTGGAGAGAGTACTAAATCAAACATACATGTTTACTTTACTTCTAGTGTCGACTCTTCATCAGCCAAAGTATGAAGCAAAACCAGTGATTATCTAATCAAAGCTGATTATTTATAATTATCAGTATTTAAGTGTGGGCTTATAGCTCATGATGTAAGTGATTTACCTTGTCCTAACTATATTTTGTCTTCATATATTAGCTGATGCTGGTACAAAGTCATCATTTTTAAATGTTTAAAATATTATTTGCATTTTATTTATTTTCCTTTCTAACTTCTATTTATTTGTGGTATTATATATACATACTACATGTTTATAATTCATAAACAAATATACACATTGTGATTGTACATGCCCAAACTATAATGCAATGAAGGCTTCAAGATTTTTTTTTTAATTAAAGTATAATTGACACACAATGTTACATTGGTTTCATGTGAAGGGTTCAAGATTTTTTAAAATGTGGATTCTCGGGTTTGTTTGTTTGTTTGTTTGTTTTGAGATAGTGCCATCTAGTGTATGTTTAGAATAACTGCCCAGTTTTTCTTTCCTTCCAGTTTTGTGTAATCTTTTCTATTTTCAATCCCTTGTACAATTTTCTTAATGAAACATCTTAGTTTACATAACTGCTAAATAGTTATCATTGTATTAAAAGATGTTTATTGATATGTCTATAAGTTGGCTGTGACATTTAATACTTCAAATAATGTTTTGAAATGATTTTAAATGTTTGTATAAAATTTGAAGTTAGAGATCCAAAAAGGATAGAAGTTTGAAAGAGGAGTGAGGTTTGTTAATATATATTTTTTTGTCATAATTTACTGTGGAAAGTTTTAAACATCTATTGAAATGGAGAGAATAGTATGATAGAACCTCGTGTACTCCTCACCCCTCTTAAACTACATTGAACTCATGGTGTATTATGTTTTATCTGTGTTCTCCTAACTCCTGATTATTTTGAAGCAAATCACAGGCATAAATTTCTTTGATTTATAAATATTTCCCAAACACAATAATTTTACCATTTTATACTGAACGCACACATACACACATGTATGTACGTGTGTGTGTGTGTGTGTGTGTGTGTGTGTGTATGTAATGTTACTAATTGCTCAAATTAATTCTTTACATTCTGCTATGTCTACTTGTCTTTTACTACTCTGTTGTTTCCATAGTTATGGTCCAGGCATCTGTCGCCCTAAAAGCATAACCTTTTTCATCCCTTTGTCTACCTCTACGTTAGGCACAGAGGCTTTAAAGGGTTTAATGGGAGCAGTTGAGGTATGGTATGAACAGTGGTTACTGGTCTACTTATTTTGCCTCAAGTTTAAGAACTGTTCATTATTTCTTGGAGGCTACTGTAGTTGATAATCAAATTTTCTCTACAGAATTGTAAAGGAGAAAGACATTATAACATCATACAATAAAATGTATTAAATGTACTGGACATCTGTCTTATTCAGATTTCCTTTGAATCAACAGAGAAAAAGCATGTTACATTGTTAGGTTGATGGTTGACATATTTTTTGCATTAAAAAGTATTATTTTTACAGCATATGGAAGAGAAGGTGTGAAAATGAACTTCATAGATCGGATCTTTATTGGTGAATTAACTAGCACAGTCATGTGTGAAGAATGTGCAAATGTAGGTGCTTTGGAATTCACTTCAACATGGAATAGATTACAATCATATCATTTTTGTTTTCTTTCACATATAATCATCAGCATTTATTTTTATTAGTGACAGATGACGACGTAATAGATTTTAAAAGTCATTAGATATATCCTTCACTCCCAGAGGAAAAACATAATTTATAATTTTTAAAGTGTTTTTTCCTCTCAACAAACCCGTGAAGTTCTTTTAGCCTACTTTAATGTGCTGGAATGTGTTAGCTACTTGTTTGGATTGAAATGAAAGAGAAACTTCTGGGAAGGGAGTAACTATGTCATATAACTATGCATTGCCCTAAAATATGATTCTAATAACTTAGGGTGATCTACCACATTTTATTTAAAGTTTACATTTATATAACTTGTTGAAGTTTTGTTTAAAGTAGACTCGTCTTTGTAATGATAATTTTTATTTTGAATGCCATCTGTACTTTAACAACTTAAAACACAAACCTTTTTATAGGTTTTCAATTATTTGGTAAAGAATATTCCTGAAAGTGTATGGGAGTATGATAGGTGTAAACTTCTGTTAGATTTTAATCATAAATTGGAGAGTCTTTATGTCCATTTTCCCGTCCAGAGTATTGAGTACCTTTCTTTTCTCTCTCATCTTATAAAGTCAGGATTATATGTTACTTGTTCTAGCCTGTCGTGTGGAAGCACGGCATTTGCCAACATCATATTACTTGAATTTCTAGTATTTTCAACATAGAAGTTGATTTCTGTCTCACAAGCTAGAGAGAATCTTTTTAAACAGAGCTCACCTAAGAAGCTACAAAACACAGTCAAGCACTCTGGCTTTTTTTTTTTTTTTTAATATTTCTATTTGATTTATGTTTGGCACAGTTTCACCAAAAATATGTTTATATCTTTAGTTGATCAGTTTTATTAAACACAGTTTATTTAGAAGTGACTTTGAATATTATCAGTTAGTTGTATTGGCAATAATATAAAATTCAACTGGGTTGCATGTATTGAGGCTTTGGGATATTTTGTTTTGATTAACAATATGTGCTGCTCTACCCAATTAAAATCACTGTTTGTTCCAGGGCTGTTTTTAAACTTGAAATAAGTTGCCTGGGAGGTTTGATTTCTTTAAGACTTTACAAAACTACATTGTCTATATTAGAATTCTAACTGAATTTCTCAATATGTTTTCTTTTTAAGATCTCCTCAGTGAACGATCCCTTTATTGATATTTCACTTCCTATAATAGAAGAAAGGGTAAGCAGGAAAAAACTTAATAATGAGTCTTTTGTGAAGAGAATTTATTCATTCATATACTTAGACATTTGTTGAGCATGTTATCACATTATCTGAGAATCATTTTTTATCTACGATAATGGAGTTCATAGAGTGTATTTGATACTGGGGTTTGTGTATATATGCATAAATTATGATATAGTTCTTACTCTCAGGGATTTCAAACCATTATGTTTTTATAGTTTGAGAATTAATGTTAAGGTAATTATCTAATTTCAAATGAGTTAGAAATTTTAAAAAAGTAGGTGATATCCAGAATTTATTTCCTAAAGAAGTTTTGTGTTATGTACATGGCATCCATATAGGTTTCAAAACCAGTACTTTTGGGAAGAATGAGTAAATATAGAAGTTTGCAGGCGACAGATAATGATCAGTACAGTGAGACTGTTACTATAGAAAATACTTCTGAACCCAGAGCCACCAAGAATCAGTCTTCATCTAAAGATAAGGTAAGATTATATGCATTTGTGAGACATCTGTTTTAAAAAACTTTTGTATATTTTTGAAACTTTTCTTATTAAAAAGTGGAGAGGTAGTATATAAACTCCCATGTACCTATTTCTCACATTCACAGGTATCAGATCATGGCTAATCATATTTTATCTATAGCTACCCCACATTCTCCCCCTGTCCATCTCATATTATTTTGAAATAATTCTGATATAAAAAATAAATACTAATTTTAAAGACATAACCACAGTGCATCATCATACCTGAAAATATTAATAACTTTTTAATAGTGCCAACATCCAGTCATTATTTAAATTTCTGTAGTTGTCTCATAAATACCTTTTTTGTTTTTGCTTTCTAAGGTGTGCTTGAATTTAGGATCTAAATTCAATTATGTGATATGATTTGTACTAACTTGGCAAACTGATATATTATCAGAGTTAACTTTTTCTGTTATAATGCTCTTGAAGTGGCAGGACTCCAGAGAGTATATACAAAGGTCTATAATTAAAAAGCCTCCCTCAGCTCTGTTCTACAAAGACCTGCTTCTTTTTCCACAGATAAGTAACCGCTATTGTGAGTTTCTTGTATAAAGATTAATTTTAAATTAGAACGATTTGTTACTCTATTTTCTATTGATTGCAGTTTAGGTAGATTTAGGAAATGGATTTCAGAGGGTCTAGGAAAAGTATTTATTTAATAATTGTGGAACATGTAAATAAGACTTGCATTTATTTTCAGTAAGGTCACAAGATTCTTTCTCTGAAAACACAGAATCAACTAGTTCATGGCAGAAAATGTGTAAGAAAATTGTCATCTGGAGAAGATAGAGCAGTCATCATATGCCAGAAAAATGAGCACCTTGAGATGAACGGGGATTCTTCAGCATTTGCAAGCATCACAAATACTGAGTCGGCTCTGACTGAAAGCCCCACCGATGGCAGTGAGAAAGAGGCCGGCCGTTCTGAAAGTAGTGCTGATGCGGATGGCGAGGCTTCAGAATCCGAAAGTGCTTTTGAGCAGGCTGTATTGTTGAGGTCTAGCCGTGGATGCTGTGTGTGCCCGCATGCCCCCTCTCCCCAGGTGCCGGCAGCTGGCCCACCCACCAGGGAGCCTGGCACTGGTGACAAGGGAGTGGCTGAAGCTATTTCTGAACTTCATCTGAGCAGCCCTGTAACTGGAGATAGACATTTTGATAGAGAAAATAAGCCACCAAGTGTTCCAAATAGTTTATGTTCTTCAGAGGAGAAGCATATGCTGTGTCCTCACCCCCAAAATGCTTTTCAGACACTTTCTCAGAGCTATGTAACTACTTCTAAAGAATGCTCACTTCAGTCCTGTCTCTACCAGTTTACATCTATGGAATTACTAATGGGGAATAACAAGCTTCTGTGTGAGAATTGTGCTGAAAAGAAGCAGAGGTACCAAAAGGAAACCGGTTCCCCAGGTAAACATTTAGGTTTTTGTTTTTCTTAGTATTCACAGGGTATTTGATAGTCAATGACTAGTGGGTTATAGATCCCAAATAGAGGAAACTGAGAACCTTGTCCCTACACTTAAGCTGCTTGGAAGCAGGTATCTTTTTCATCGTTGTACCTCAGCACTGAAGACAGTGACTGGACTTCTAAATCGATTTTTGATGAGGTAAATTGAACAGGAAGTACCCATCTCTGCCTTGAGAAATGCAAATCCACAGAATCTTGTTTCGGGGGACTAGCTGTCTGAAATCTTTCCAGAAGAAATTTCACTAGTACATCTGTAGCCTTGATATGGAGAGAATACTCTGATTCTTAGCGACTAGTTGTTTCAAAACGCAGGCTTTATAATTATTCAGTTGTGGTGAGGCCCATAGATCAGGAGATGGTTGTCACTGAAAAGATAGTTTGTTACATACAGTTCTGAAGAGGAGGGAGGACACTAAGCCATGCCATGCAGGGCCACATGGGGAAGGACTAGGGTTGATCAGGAGGCAGAAGGAGTGAGGAGAAGACATGGACAAGAGCCTTTGTTGTAGTTTCCAGGGAAGGAATTAGAATCAACAAGTTTAGGATTGACTAGTTTTGAATAATTTCAGTGGGCTCTGGGGCATCGGGGCTATCTCTAGGTGTATAGTACCTGGCCGTAGTGTGATGAGGGCAGGTAGATAGTGGCCTAGTGTATCAGAGCCCAATAAAGGAGGTGGTTGAGTATGGGCTTTCGATTGGTTGGTTTGCATATGAGAGGCACACTTATATTGTTTATTATATCTAGGAATTTGCTAGTTGTGGCTGAAGTCTTCCCTATAATGACAGCAAGGCCCTAGGTATCAAAGTATCAGAATAAAGACAGAATAAAGGCATGTTTAATAGTAATTAAAGAAATGTCTAGATGGGAGAAGGAAGAAATACCACCTTACATTAATCCAAGTTAAATATGCTGTTGGCCATATTCAAATCCCATCCCAACTATTTTCTAACAACTTCCTTCTGAAATGCCCTGTGGTGATCTCCTTTCACTACAATGAGGAATGACCCATTTTTTTCAACTACAGGTCTGTTTCTGGTGGTCTTTGGAGGGCATTGACATAAGTCGCTATAGTCCATCTGCTTCTCAGCTCCCAAAATTTTGTTGCAAGTTTCACGTCCCCTATTCTTTGTCCTTGTAAGTGTGTGCTTTTTAAAAAAATCCCTTTCATTTCAGTGGAGTTTTGGAAAGTAGTATAGAGGCACCCTTGTCACCAGAGTCTAATTTCTTTTTTAACATTTTCAAAAATATGGTATGATGCTTCTTTATAAATGTTAACTCTGTTATGTGGTATATAATGTATAAAATGGAATTTTACAAAAAAATTATTATATTTTATGCAGAAAAGAAAGCAGAAGGGGTTTATACTAATGCCAGGAAGCAATTGCTCATTTCTGCTGTTCCAGCTATCCTAATTCTCCATCTTAAAAGATTCCATCAGGTAAAAGTCCCTTTAGTAGCACTGTAGTAATTTTGTCATATGTTTTGCAGAAACCTACGTCTTGTAAAATGCTGTCAAAGGATTAGACAGTAACTTGTTTAATTTAAAAATTTGTCATAAAGGATTTACTGCTTTTTTCATCCATAATAGCTTACAAGACTTTTCTAAATAAAATGGTTTAATTCATGATACTGTATTTGATGATTTAGGTGGTAGGAACCTAAGGGGTGTGTGTGTGTGTGTGTGTGTGTGTGTGTGTGTGTGTGTGCACGCACCTGTATGGGAGAGAGAGAATGAAAAATAAAGTTTATTAAGAATCCTTAGAAGCAGGGAAATAGCAAAGTGCACATAGCTTTCTGAGCTCTCAGGATCCCAGTGATAGGGGTAAGTGGGCTGGGCATGGTTGGCTTGGACTAAATGCAAAAAGGGCTACAAAATGCAAAGGTAGGGACTGTACAGTGAGAGGGAACCTAAATGTTTTTAATGTGTCAGGTTTTCCTCTATGCTTAGTTTTAATCCAATGCCTTGTCTGGTTTTTTGTTTTATGTGGGGTTTTTTTTTGTTTTGTTTTTGCATTTGATGTAATGATTTTAAAGTTTCTCTGAAAGAGTAAATAAGTCAAATACTAAAACATTTTGGAAAAAGTTAGAATGGGTGGTTTTTTTGACACCAATTTAAAAATAAAACTGTATAATTAAAACAGTATGGTCAAGATTGTCAATAAATAAAACATGAGTCTTATTTAAAGCTTTTGTTATGATAAAGGAATAATCTCAAATCAGTTGGGAAAGAGGTGGATTATTTTGTTTTTAAGTTTATTTATTTTTAAGTAATCCTGTGGGCTCAAACTCCTGACTCCAAGATCAACCCCTAGATCAAGAGTCACTTGCTCCTCCACCTGAGCCAGACACCCCACAGGGTAGATAAAGGTAGATTTGATAAAGGATTTAGGAAAAAGAGCTGAAATAAAAAATATAAAGCTTCCCTCTGTACCGTATATCATTACTATTTTCAGATAAATATTTTAACTGTATGAAACAAATCTTCAAAAGACTAGAAGAAAACTTAAATGAATATTAACCTGACCTCTGGGAGGAAGATTTTTTTTTTTTTTTGGTGGGCAGCAAAGCAAGGTTTATTGAGTGATAGCAAAGTGATAGTACAAAACTCCCAAGGAGGGAGGGGACCCGAGGGTGTTGCCTGGGGGAAGATTTTCTAAGTATAAAACCCATGAAAGAAATCTCAAGGAAAAGATTAGGAGTTTTGATTATATATCTGCAACATTTCAGGTGGGCCATAGGTAGGCAGGAAGAGATTTTTCTCTATACACCCCCTCCATATCCACAGAAAAATTAGACTAAGTTCTTGATTTTTTTTTTTTAAGATTTTATTTATCTTTTTTACAGAGAGACAGCGAGAGAGGGAACACAAGCAGGGGGAGTGGGAGAGGGAGAAGCAGGCTTCCCACTGAGCAGGAAGCCCGATGCGGGGGCTCGATCCCAGAACCCTGGGATCATGACCTGAGCTGAAGGCAGACGCCCAACGACTGAGCCACCCAGGCACCCCTAAATTCTTGATTTGTGATAGCCAAGAATGTAGAAACTCAGTGGAAGTGAAATGGCTGTGCACAGCAGAAGCAGATGTCTTGTGTCTCATTACATGAGAATGCCTAGTGAAGGGTGTATATGTGCAGTTACTCTGAGCAAGATAGGGTCATGTCAGATCTGAGAAGCTGATTTCATGATGTGCCACAGTTATTTTATATTTGGTACTGCATCTCAATTTAGGAACTTACAGAAAGAATTCATGCCCTTAAAAGGAAATATTTACAGACTAATCAGTAGTCTCAAACTTATATGTCAGTTTTGGACTATTCGTTAGTCATGTTTTTATAGCTATTAAAAAAACTAACTTCTAGGATTCCTCTTTTGGTTTTATTAACAATGACTTAGATGAATTGTTTGTTGCATTAAAAATTATTTTTTGGTCTTTTTAAGGCTGGCTTGAGTCTTCGAAAAGTAAACAGACATGTAGATTTTCCACTTATACTTGATTTAGCACCATTCTGTTCTGCTACTTGTAAGGTATAGTATGTTATTAAGATGTTTAATTGACTTGTAAATAATATGCTTAAAAGTATTAGGTCATTCATTCATTCATTCAGCTTCTCTGAAAGGGAATTTTGTAGTTGGTGAAGTTAAATCCGTAACGTGGAACATTTAACACACCGAATATGACTTTTGTCCTTTGGGAGACAGAATAAGGGACCGTTGAAGAGCTGTGTGAACCATTAGCATGGTGGTCAGGAAGATCAATGCTGCTTGTCAGTGCTACTAGAAACAGATAGTTGAGGAGAGAAGTAAGCAGATTTTGTGCCCTCTCCTGTTCATTGTGAATGATGTGCTTAATCGACAATAGTTTTAGCAGTCATGGAGTTCATTCTCTTTTGTGAGTCAATATACTAGTGCATTGTTTTTCATGCTATTTCATGTACACTACTGAAAATAGTGTACTTGTTAGCTGAGTAGGATACTGTAAAATTGATAATACTTTAATAGATATAGAAGAAGACTGGTTTATAATTGCTTGTATTTATATGTGAGAACTGTGTAGGTGAATTCAATGACTTTGTCTTCCTTGAGGGAACCACACATGTTATGGGGTAACATATTTTTCTCTTCATGGTTATTGGTTAGCAGCCTAGGTTTTGTGGTGTGTAATGGAATGCTTATTGAACTTAATAGTTTCCATACATTGATGAATCAAAACAAAAATACCTTAAAAGCTACTATTTGGTGAGTCCAGTTTATCTGCTGTAGAATACCAGCACTGTCTGTCAATTATTAACACTCTGTATTCATAGAATTTGATAATGTGGTAAACAAAATGAAATTTAACAAGTTTTGTATTAAATTTATAAAAACACATCTTTAAAAGGTACTTTTTATGGAGAATTTCCAACATACACAAAAGTAGACAGAACAGTACAATGAACCTATATAGCACACATCACCTAGCTCTAAAACCTTAGGTACAGGGCCAGTCCTGCCATATCCACATGCTTACCTACTACTTCCCGTATTATTTTGAAGCAAATATCAAGCATTATTTCGTTCATAAATATTTTTCTGTGCATCTATAAAAGATAACAATCACTTCCCCCTTTTAAGAACATAACCACAATACCACTTTCATACTAAAAAAAAAAAAAATTCGGCACTAATTCCTTTATATCATCTAATGTATATATTTCCAGTTGTCTCACAAATGAAATTTTAAAAATGAATTAGTATCCAAGTAAAGGCTACACATTATGATTGGATAATGTCTTTTAGTCTCTTTTAATGTATAGTTCCTCTCTCCCATCCCTTTCCCTTTCTCTCCCTTGCAATTTATTTTTTTAAGAAACTGAGTTCATCTTTCTGGTGGTTTCTGTTTAGAGTTTGATGATTCGTCCCCTGTCATCTTTATTTCCTGTGGTTAGATAATTGGCTCTTAAGAGGCTTGAACAGATACAGGTTTGATGCTCTTTTGTTCCCCCTGCTAAGGCTATCTTAAAGGGCGTGTTTTGTTTTGTTTTTTTATTAGGTGGCACATAATGCCACTTATCTTTCTTTCTGTGATATTAGCAAGCAGTAATGCTCAAATGCTAGATCCAGAAGTTCACTAAGAATTACAGAATGGTGATATTTTAAATTTGTCTTTCCTTCTTCATTGATTAGCTGGAGCACTTCCCTTTTTTTTTTTTTTTTTTAAAGATTTTATTTGAGAGAGACAGAGAGCACAAGCAGGGGGAGTGGCAGGTAGAGGGAGAGGGAGAAGCAGGCTCCTTGCAGAGCAGGGAGCCCGATGCGGGGCCCAATCCCAGGACCCCGGGATCATGACCTGAGCCGAAGGCAGATGCTTAACCAACTGGGCCACCCAGGCGCCCCAACTGGAGCTCTTCTATACAGAGAGAAATTCCTTTATCTATTTCGTTATCTTATAATACAGTTTTTATAGAAAAGGCTAGATAAATGTTTGATTCTTTACCTACTCCTCTTCTAAACCAGTTCAGAATAATGAGTTAATTCAGTGGCATCCTTAAACTATGATCAATTAATTTATGATTATTAATTTATGGATTGAAACACATTAAATATGTTTCAGCTTACACTTTTCTTTTTATTCGTGGTCTAATATATTAATGGAATATGCTTATTGAACTTAATACTTTCCATACTGGAATGGAATATAAATGGGTCCATAGTTGGCTACTGAAAGCCACTTCAAGCAGGCTTCTGGGTTCTTCTGACATGACCTTAGTGGAATGATTATACTGCCAACTGGAATATATTATTCACCTGTTTAGTTTTTATGTTGTCATTTTAGGGATTGCTTTTTAAATTTAAGTGTTCAAAATTTTACTAAACACATAAAATATTTATATACTTCCAAAATCACATGTATCAAATGTATAAAACAAGATAAATTCAAATAAGTATAGCTTTTCTTCTCCATGTCCATTCCACTTATTTCTTTCCTTCCTTTATATATAAGCCATTTAAAAATTGTTTATTCTTGGGGCGCCTGGGTGGCTCAGTCGGTTAAATTTTAATAATTTAAAATAATTATTCAACCAGCCCCCAATTTAATGGGGACCGATTTTTTTGGGTTTATTCCATTTTCTTTTTAGTCAAAGTATAGTTGACATACAATATTATTTTCAGGTATACAGTATAGTGATTCCACATTTATATACCTTACAAAGTGATCATGATATATCTAGCTACCAGCTGTCACCATACAAAGTTGTTACAGTATTATTACCTATATCCCATGTACTGTACATTATATCTCCATGTCTCCAGTTTTTTGATATTACAAATATTCCTGCAGTTAAGAGCCAAAATAATAACTAATAGTATGTCTTTTTACATTTTGCTCATGTACTTGTAAGATAGAATCCTACAAATAGGATTGATAAATCCAAGAGTAATACCTGTGTAATTCAGCTAGATAACATGAAATACCTCTGCATAGGATTGTACCCCTTTGTGTTCCCACAGGCAATGTGTGTGAATACTCTTTTCCCCACAGCCCAGCCAACAGAGAAGGTTGTCAGGCTTTTGCATTTTGCCAGTCTAATACATGTGGAAACACATTTCAGTGTTGTTTTAACAATGCATTTTTTCTTAGTTTAAGCAGGACACATATATTTGACTTAATTTTCACTATTATAATATTTCACTAATTACTAATTCCAGTTTTTTCTTTGTCTAAAAGAATGTAAATGTGGGAGATAAAGTTCTCTTTGGTCTCTATGGCGTAGTGGAACATAGTGGCTCAATGAGGGGAGGTCACTACACGGCTTATGTGAAAGTGAGAACACCCTCCAGGAAATTATTGGAGCATATCACTGGAAAGACATATGTACCTGGTATGGCATCCTGAGTTTTTGTTATTCCTAAAAACAAATGACTGTGTTCTTCCTTTTCTGGAAGAGGTAAGCTGTTTCATGGATACTGCAAGTGGATTCACTTTGTTAAAGTTAAGTGAGAAGTAGTTTTAAGAGTACTTAGGTAATCTTAAAGAACCTTAAATATCATAAGACTGTACCCTTCTAGATGATGTGAAGTGACACACTGTTTTTCAGGGTGCTAGGTCATTGTGTATTGCGGTGGAGTGGCATTTTACTTAACAACACCAAAAGATTTTGAAGACCTATCAGGTCCTCAGAATAGATTTGGGGTTGAAAATTTGCAGACTCTGCCTATGGATGAACAAGCTGACTTTGTTTTTTTTCTATTTCAGTGAAAATGATTCTTTTCCTTGAGCAAATAAATATTTACAAGTCTATCTAATATTTCACTAGATATTTAAAGTGAAGTGATGCCAATATTGCTTTGAAAGAGTTAGTTGATTTCGGAAGATGTTTAACACAAGAAGAAACACACCAATAAGATCTAGCATTAGATAAATATAGTTTGTGATGAATGTGTTGTTATTTATAATGTAGACTAAGAACATACTTATTGTAAAATTATACTTCTTTTTGTCTTGTTAGGTTTGAAAGAACCTGACAGTGAATCGACAGGCCAGTGGGTCCATGTTAGTGACACTTACGTGCAGGTGGTTCCAGAATCAAGAGCACTTAGTGCACAAGCTTACCTTCTTTTCTATGAAAGAATATTATAATTGTCTGTTAATAATTAGTGATAATGATGATTTAGATCGCTTTTGTTTAAATGCTGCAACAAAAACCATAATATGTAATGTGCCTTTGTAATCTTTTCTCTTCTGTAGGAATAGCATGTCCCTCAAATGCCCCTGAAGATTTTTACCATTTTGGTGAATCCTTTTAAAGTAAATTAAATTTACTCAGTGCTTTCAAATTTATATTCTTAAAATAAATGTAAACACATGTTTTTAAGGAAAATTTGTCCTAGAAAAAAAAAACAGAATTTGCAGCAGTAGAGGAAACCCCCCCTTATAATATGGCTTATTACCATGAGCATTCAGAAATGATGCTGGCTAATGAAATTGTTTCTTAAAACAGGGTTTACCAAATGTGAGTTGCATACCACCTTTCTGATTTTATATATATATATACATAATCCTGTGCCATTGTTTAATTATTTTTAACCTTAGTTTTCAGCCTTACCTTTTTAAACGTAGCCTTGTTTTGAGCATATTCCACATTTTATGTACTAGTTATATTATTTCTAATAAACATTAAAATAAATCTATAACTATTAGAGAAAAATTGTTCATCCATGTAGCACTCCACTTAAAATCATCTCAGGGCTGTCCAGTGGTGTACCTATACCACTGTGTTAGAAACATTGGTTTAACATATACTTACACAGTGACCTCATCATATTTTGTGTGATTCAACCATATAAAAAGATACCACTGTAGCTTCAGTAATAGGGTTCTACAAATAATTTATTGATTAGCTTATTGCTTTGAGGTTTTGAGAACTAGAAAAATAATGAAATATATCATTAACATTATTTGCAGCCTATTCATGGTGGCGTTGAGGATAATTTGCATGTAATCAACCAGGGTCAAAATATAATTGTTGATAATTGTAAAATGCAGAATTGGTAAATAGAAGTTGTTAATCCATATGGGACCATTGGATACTTTTAATATAAATTACCAAATTATATTTGTAAGCGACAGAGAATTATATTCTTATTATACTAGACAGGGAAATATAATTTTCTAGTTCTGTAGGTCAGTAAACATTAATCGTGGTTTTGGGGTTTGAGATCACTTTTTTTTGTCATCAACAAGCATCATTAATAAGTTCAAGTGGGTTTAGCTTGTATTTTAATGAGGTGTAAAGTTGGCATTTCAGATTTTAAATAAATAATAGCAAAAATATGGTAGTTTACAGCCCCCCTTCCAGAATACAAATTATTAAGCTGTCAAAACTTGGCATGAAAATATTACTATTACTTAGGCTTAAAATTTAAAAAAATAATGGGTACTTGGGTCTGACATTACTGAATCAAAACACATACGTGCATGGTTCAAGCATCCTAATCATTAGTGCCAACACATCATACTACGAGCAGCTACTGGCTAAGTGCCTAGTTCCCGTTCATTTTCCTCTTGGGAAGGAAGGATAAGAATAGGGCCTATAGATATTGTGTGGAAGTATTTAACCAAGCCTCTAACCCTTCTTAACATTTAAGGTTGTATGACATTGTCAAGTTTACCAGTGCTGCCTTTTGATCTGTGGATGAGAGGAATTGTGATTATCAGTGTTAAAGATGGTAATAATATTTAAAACTCAGAGCTTAAAAATGTCATTGCACAAATTCTATTTTTAAGTTATTGAAATTTGAAATAATAGTGTTTTCTTGATTTTAATGTGAAATGATGGAGAAATATATCTTTATAAATTAATCTGCAAACTCAGGTTGTGTCCTATGAAAAGTAGTTTAAACTGTTTAAACAGTGTTTTATGTTTATTTGTAATCCATTAACATTGAAGTTTTCAGTACCAGAGCAGTGAATTTTTTTTTTGGAAAGTATTAGTTAAATCTCTTTATTCATGTTAGCCACATTGGTAATGGCAATTACCGTCCTTTCCCCAAATGTAAATATTAAGTCACCTCATTTTTCTCCTAAAAAAGATGCCATTATGAGGTGCATATTTTTCATTGAGTGGTCACTTGCTTCTTGTTTCATTGATAGATGAACAAGAAAAACAAGAAAAAGAGTGAGAGAAAGAAGGAAAGAAAGGGAAAGGAAGAAAAAAGGATAGGAAAGAAACAAGAGCATTCTTTTCTGTTGCCCCTCGGCTTTATCCCTTACACAGCTAAAGTGAGAGATGGCGAGATAGGTGAGGGCAGGAATCCAGGGAAGTGCCTAGTCCTCTTTTCATTAATAGGATGTCAGGAAACGTGCCAGTGCTGTATTTACCAAAGAGACCTTTTGAGCTTTATTTTGAGTGCCAGTTAGGACTGATTTTTCATTGAGTGATACATTGTAGCTTTAGAACATTACCTCTGTACTCAAGTACTGCACTAGTTTTTATGCTTAACATTTATTCAGTAAGTATATATTTTTTGAACACCTGTTACGGGTCAGGCACTGTGCTGACACTCTTTTAACATGTTTTAAAATGGAGAGGCCTATATATGTTTTAGACATTATTCCAGAAGTAACATACAAAGAGATACTTTATTTTCATTTCATGGTAAAAGAGCAAAGTCTGAAATCTATTTTTTTATGGCCTACAGTTTATGAATATTTTTTAGGGTCTGCTGGTAATGGAATAAATTTGATTTTGATACCTAAGAATTTCCTAAAGATAGACTTGTAATAGGGAAAGTATGTTAAGTTACACATGGGCCTACACTTAATTTTTTGTTTTTATTAACATTTTGAAAAGCATATTTGCAGGGGTACTAAATTGTGAAGCTGCTATAATAACAATAGTTTCAGATGACCTCAGGAAACTATATAAATAAGTGAGAAATGTTTACAGATTCTCGAAACAACTACCATAGCGCTTGGCCAAATGAGTTTAAGAAGTAGAACAGAAGTTTCACTAGCTATTTAGAAACTGGTTTACAGGGTGTCTAATCCCAGTTTCCTCTGGTTTTTCCTATTTAAAATGATAAAATTGTGATTATGTGTCAATTATAGGAATATTTTTGTCATAACCAAATATATGTCTGTATTTAAGATTTTGTTATTTAGTGTTTTTAAAACAGATGTGAAAACCACCTTTTTGGGTGGCAAGGCAAGTGGTAGTTGGTGTCAATTCTAAGAGTAGTGGATTCCTGTTTTCTTATTTTAAATGCTCCAACAGAGCTATTTTACTATATATGATAGCTCTTAGCTCGTATGTGTGATGATTTTAGTGATTTTATACAATAGCTGAATAAAATTTTCTGAAGATTAAGCTGTTAAATGTATCACTTTCACCCAATTTTTGTAGTACAAAATAACATTCTGCCTTTTCCTAAATTCATATTCATAATTTGCATGTTACCTGATCAAATAAGCCTAAATCAAATATGTTATGTGCAATAAAATTGAACCTTTATATATTATCCAGTGCATTAAGAAAGATGATTTTTAGATATTTAAAATGTTTTGGTTCATGGAGAAATCAATTTAAATCTGTTTAAAAGAGGACTATATTTTTAATTTTGAGTAGTGCTGGTAATATAGCATTCCTGTTTTATCTTTACTTTTTTTGCAGTGTTTTTAGAAAACAGCTATGTAACTTATTGAGCATAATTTTGATGTTACTGTATAAAAATGCATAATAAATGTTAAATTTTTCTTTGTTTCACAATTGGTCCTGGAGTTTTTGAAATGCACATTATTGATAATATTTTATCAACACTGTATTTGCTTACCTAGCTATATTCAAAATATCCTTCTCATTTTAGAAGTTCATTATTTCAGAACAAAATATCTTATTATAGGTCACTTTCACTCAAATTTCAGTATCTTACCAAGGGTGAATCTTCATCCTTTCAGATGTTTCTCAAAATATTTGGATTATTTAGACAGGATAATTTATTAGGAAATATTTTGTCTACCTGTTTGGATTTAAGCTTTTGGGTCATGAAGTTCTTTGAGATTATGATGAAAGTTACAGACCATCTTTCATTTCAATAATTTAATAAGTATTTATCGAAGCTGTGAGTTGGGGGAAGAGGAGGGTTTTAATTCTGGGGCCCTCTCTTCACTCTTGCTAATGACAATGTAGAGTTTGGGAAGGGACATCTTGACAGTTATATAGTCTCAGAAAAATATATAACCCAGATTTTTGTAGGTAATTTCAGAGGTTCATGGACCACCCCCAAGCCATATTCATACCTTTTTAAAGCTGCACTAAAATAGAAATACCCAAAATGTTTGCATTACATTATGTTTTAGGACAGCCTAGTTTTTGCTGCAGTAACAAATAACTCCACATCCCATTGGTTTAACACAACAAAAGTTTATTTCTCCCTCACCCAAAGTCCCCTCCTGAATCTGGGCAATCTGCATAGCCAACTATTTTCCAATTGATGATTTTGTAATCCAGGCTTTTATATTGTGCTTCTATCATTTTAACACCAGGTCTCCCCACTGTAGCAAGGGAAGAGAGCACTAGTCTTGCATCAGCAATTAAATTCACCTTGGATGTGTCACTCACAACCCATTGGCCAGAAGAAGTCACATGGCCCTGCCTAATTGCAAAGAGGGATGGGTAGGATGAGTAAGAATAAAACAGAATAAGTCTCCCATGGGCTGTCTTGTTTCATTAGCATAATCTTTCCAGAGTTCATCCATGTGGCAGCATATATCAATTTCATTCCTTTTTAAATCTAAATAATCTATTGTGTATATACCACAGCTTTAAATAATTTTATTTTTAAATGTTAAGATGGATGTTGTATGGAATTGACACTGTAAAGATTCCCATCTTGAATGGTAGGAATACTTCCTGATTCTGTATTGTGCACATCTCATTTAACTTTTTTTTTTCCATTTAACCTTGAGGCTAACTTGATTCCACAATAATGCAAAGTACTAACTTGAACATACCCTCCCTTTGGATTTTCTACTTCAAACACTGCAAACAGGGAAAGTTAATAAAAATTTAATTTACAAAGTCCGCTAATCTGTTAAATCATAAAGAGCAGATTGCCGAGACTGGCAAGATGGTGGCTGCTTCAACATTTTCTGATCAAGGTGCAGAATGACCAGACTGTAGCAGATAACATACATGATCGCTGTTCAAACAGACATTTTAATACAAAAACATTCTGAGAAAGTTTGGTGTTGAAATATCTATGTGTGTGATGTTTCCTTCAGATCCTAACATTACAGGGAAATCCTAGATGATAGTGGTCAGGGAAAGGGAAATGGGACTATAAAACTCATTTCCTGGGGCGCCTGGGGGTCTCAGTCAGTTAAGCGTCTGCCCTTCGGCTCAGGTCGAGTCCTGGGATCAAGTTCCGCAGGGAGCTCGCTGCTCAGAGGAGAGCCTGTTTCTCCCTCTCCCTCTGCTGCTCCCCCTGCTTATGCTCTCTCTCTGCCAAATAAATAAAATATTTTAAAAAATTAAAACATTTCTTGATTTGGCCATCAGTGACCACTGAGAATGTCTTAAGTTGGCACAAGGAACAAAACATGAGTTATTTAATATCTCTATTTGGCAGTGGGTTTCCAAAATGATTAGCCTATATTGGTTGTTCAAAATATTCACTCACTTGACAAATGTAAAAATTCTTGTATGATAAGCAGTATGCTGACTGGTTGGAGAACAGAGATGGGGCGAGGATAAACAGTACCAGAAAATTGCTTCAACTCTACTAGGGAAACTGCAAACAATTACAATATGATTAAAGGAGACAGGAACATGTGGAAAGTTTCAGTAGGGGATTCAGATTTCACAGAGCACTTTTTCTCAAAGGGGTACCTGGGTAGCTCAGTCAGTGAAGTGTCCGACTCTGGCGCAGGTCATGATTTTGGGGTCCAGGGATCAGCCCCTAGTCGTGCTCTGCTCCGTGGATAGTCGGCTTGAGATGCTCTCTGCCCCTCCCCCCCTCATGCACACACACGCTCTCTCCCAAATAAATAATCTTAAAAAAAAAAAAATTTCTCGGGGCGCCTGGGTGGCTCAGTCGTTAAGCGTCTGCCTTCAGCCCAGGTCATGATCCCAGGATCCTGGGATCGAGTCCCACATCGGGCTCCCTGCGCAGCGGGAAGCCTGCTTCTCCCTCTCCCACCCCCCCCTGCTTGTGTTCCCTCTCTTGCTGTGTCTCTCTGTCAAAT